CTGACCGTAGGCTCATTCCAAAATCGTTCGTCCGCACATGCAGCCGTATCTTCGGTAGCGGTGATTGGTAAGATGCCTAAACTCGTCCGAAATCGATTTACAAGTCACTGAGAACGGAGGCTTTTTCTTCGCAGGATTTTGACCGTTTCACTCCGTTCTTTCGCCATTTCCCCACTATACAGCGCCCTACTAGCATTTTAGGCTAAGTAGGAAATCATCGTGGCAATTGCCTTTAAACAATAGCATCAGTTAGCATCAGTTCAAATTGGATTACTAGCATAATGAGCCGGCACCGTTTAATGATAGTCTAAAGGCGAAGGATTGCTTTACTAAGCGATATAGAACAATGAAATGCGCGAGTGGTGATTTTAATGTCTACCACACAATTATACGTTTGAGAAGTTTCGGATAGCATGGTGAACAATAATCTCAAAAACCACATAAAGGGCAGCCCGATCGATAGATGTATGGTACAACAATGAAGCTAATATGGCCGTGAGCAGAATCACCAGATGGCGGAAGTCTCTAAACTACGTTCAGTGCAGAATAAAAGCGCCGGTTGAAGTGTACTTTCCATTCTGAGCACAACCTTTCAAACAATGCTCTTCTACGTGTTCCTCGCACTGATGCTTCTCAACGCTATCACTGAAGGTTACAAGGTGATTGTTACTAACTGAGTCTTCATTTGTGAAGCTACAATAGAGCCGCCCGCGATGAGACCACTTTTCAGGGATGTGGACCGTGCTGATCAATACCTGTGCGAAGTGATCAAGAAGTCTGGTTGGTGTCGGAGCATAGAAGCAGAGCAGGTTTCCGCGGCGTCTCTCTACTGTCACAAGCAATGTGGCTATCTAGTGAATTGGAGGACCAATTAAATTGATTTTGCAATTAAATTTCGTAGTATCACATTGTAAGAGCTTGGCTCAACATAACCGCTTACCTTACAAGTTTACAATTCATCTCAGCTCGAATCAGAAACCTCGACAAAACACAAGTAGGATCGAAGCGGCTGGCTCTACTGCTACTGCCAGACTCGGCCTCAATGTGGCCCCTGTAATTTGTCGCTCTCACTCACAGCCTCAGTCACTGCATACATTAGTGAACTAACTCCTTCACTGTCACATCAAAACAACAATCGCGCGTAGACCGAAGGCGAAGGGACAATCCTCAACTATATGTAGCTGCGCTGGCTCGCTCTCCGAGTTTTCAGGTGTGTGACAAAGAATCGTCATTCGGGTCTCGCGTTGTAGTGAGGAGGTCGCGTGCGTCGTCGCGCCCGCAAATGACGATGGTTCCAGGTAGTAGATAACGACGACATGCAATTCAAAACCTGAAAATAGTCATGAATGTCTACGATGACGGGGTTCTCATGAATTCCGGTGCTCCAACGGCAAACTGTTTAACACGAGTTAGGAAAACGCCGCGCCCACCGCTGTGCGCGGTACAGCGGCGAAATACGATTCTTTGACTGTTTCCCGGAGTTTCAGAGGCTGCCCCTTGAATATAGTCTTCTTCTCCCTAGCGTTAGTCCCGCACTGTCGCAGGATCTGCTGTTCTTGTTAGACGTCCCCACTTGTCCCGAATCCAATGTATTTCTGGCTGGCAATTTACTCAAACAGAGTTATACTGATGACGGTCGCAACCACACCTCTTCTTTTAGCCCCTCGCTTGCCTTCTACTTCGGAGTCCAGCGTTCTCTTTATGCACTATGAATATAGTAAGAAGTCTATCGTGCCACATTAGCGGACTTTGTTGAGTAGGAACGCTACTTCTTCAAAATGAGCCTCCCATAACGCCAGATCGGAACCCATACTTTCCTTCCCGCTTGATTCTTCCAGAACGCCGAGTCACAGAGTATGAACGCGGCCTACTATGGAGATGACTGCCATGTGACTCATTAGTGCACCTCATTGGAGATTAGGCGGTTACGTTAATTTTTGAAAAATGACATGATTTTGAGGGCCGACGAGTCGTCTGCCCCTTCTATTCATGTCACCACACAAATGTAATGTAACAAACTAATTCATTTCAGAGTTAACAGGGGAAAAACACCAACTACATGTTCAGTTAGTTACCAGCCGTGAATAACATTATAATACATGACCAAGAAAAGCGCCGAGTTCATGTCTATGGGTGTTTCGTGAAAGAGTCTAGAACGACAATACTTAACCTAGCAAGAGACAGGACACACAAAATTTTGAGTACCGTACAAGTAAACCATACTACATCATAGACCACGTGGGTAATGGAGTGGGAACATATTGGACTAAAATGAAATCGGGACAAATGGCTTGCAAAACCCACTAACGACCAAGACTAAAAAATGAAATTGTCATTTTGGGGTTCATTCATGGTAGAATAATATCACCAACACTAATGGAACAGAGCACATGATAGGAAAAGAGGCGGAGTTACACATTCTGAGCTGCTAATGAAATATCAAAGCAACTGGAGGGAAAAGCAAATATGGGGAATCAAAGTAATGAAAAGGGAAATGTATACGGGTTCCGTTTCTAATAATCATCTCCTCTTGACAGAACTTCTTTGCATGTCGGACGCAACACCAACGTATGCTCCCACTGAGCCGTATAGCATCCTTTCACATCACACAACGGTGGGTATGGGTCAACAATGCCCTGAAATAGTCTAAGTTTAGAAATTGGGATGCTCACCACTGATGGATCAGCTTGGGATGCGGTTCCAATTAAACTTTCTTATTTTCCATGGCTCATATGGTCCACGGTTCCTACTTGAGTGCCCTTCCAACATTTATTCAGAAGGAGTTATTGGAAAAAAGCTTTCTGATACGTATTCATAGCAGGCACAACATGGAGATAAGGAAAAGTGATCGTTCAGCATGGCTTCCACTTGCCTCAAGTACGACCCCTTCACCCGGAACTCCTACGCAGCGGCTTTTTTGACCTCTGATTCCGCCCAAAAAAAAAACGTAAGCCCTCATCGTGAACATGCTGCTCCTTCCTGCAGATTAACTTCCAACTGTATGGAGTCCTCCAGTCTGACCAAACGAGACTATTTTGTCGAGGATTTTATGCCCCTCATTCTGAGCACTCCACATGATGATGGAAAGGAGGCAAAATACTTCCTTCAGCCGTTGGAGTGAGTGTTCTTAATTAGTCTGGATGAAAGATTCGGTCCATTTAGTAGGCCAAAGAAGCAGCACTCAAGGCGATGCGGAACTCCGAGTACCGCAGCTAGGAGGTTGGCAAAAACCGGATAAAGAGTATGAAGGCTCTCGAAGGTAGACAACAAGAGTAAGTTTCAACTAGCAAAGAAATTAGGCTTGAATTCGAATTGACGCAAACAAAGTCTAGGCTAAAGTCGGGAAAAACTTCCAGCGACGAGTTTCTCAAAGCTCTCCTCAATTACATTGCCTATTAGCTATTCGGGAAGGCAGGCAATGCGGACTAGTAAGTTAATGGAAACCTCACCGCAGACCTTGCTTTTGACTGGCAGTAGCTCAAGCGCGAAGCGAGACATTGCGGGTAATTTCAGTGACATCTCTAGGCCGTCCTCATAGAAAAAACGGGTCGGTGCCATGCCGAACTGATCCATACTGAAAGCCACAAAATGTAACGTTCGGCGACATATAGTCCCTCCTATACCCCCCCCCAACCGGAGAAGCATTGTTATCAAAAATACTGTCGCACTTCCTAGTTGTTTACTTTACCAATTCATTCACAGCCGTATTGCGCTGGTGGAATATGGGCCAGTTGTAATGCCTTGGAGATCCTCCAAAAAGGATGCTGGTTGTCCCAAACCGAAATATTCCACGAAAAGCGCATCCTACACCATGTTCCTGTGGATTACGAACCCACGCCCCTCTTATCTCCGGGATATGGAGTGCATATAATTTCGTAGAGCACCACCAAAGTGGTCATAAATCCAACAAATAAAAACTTACCTTATCGCACAAGTCCTTCAACGCCATGAGGTATTTGTTCTCGCCCAGTCTGTCAACCCACCGCCGACAGAACGCCAAAGTTCCAAAGTTACGATCAATTGTGTTGAGAAGAGCTTTTGAACGAGCTAGTCTATAAAGTAAGAAAGCAGTTGTACTGAGAAACTTCAGATTTTCTCACTTCAGCGGACTATTTACCTCAATGGGATGTGCTCTTCAGACAGTTCAAAGTTCTTCATGTAATGCGAACACTCCATATCGTCATGAACATATCCCTTACCAGTTGATCCGAATGTTTCAATAGCGTATACCTGGAAATAGAACGTGAGACTGACGGCCGACAGCTATGTTCAGCAAAGCTTTGGTTAGGACCTGGCATGACATTAACACGTTCCGGACCGCGTGACACACATGGTGTGTCATAAATTTGTCTCTATACCGGTGTTTATTGAAATATGGCTCTCATTTCATGTTCCAGTGATGTGAAAACACATTCGAGGTTATGAAAAGACACTTCGGTCCGCAATGTGTTAATAACCTTGTTGAACACATTGCGGGCCACCGTATTGCGCGCCTATCCCAATCATTTCATTTCACTTTTCATCAACAATTGATCAGTAATTCCCTCCC